ACTGAAACTATTCTAGCAAAGATACAACTTAGGTGGGCTGGTCATGCTGTGACAATGGATGAGCATAGGCTTCCAAAAAAGGTGCTGTATGGACAACTACCAAACTTCAAGCGTTCAGTTGGACGTTCACAAAAACAAATTGAAAGACAACTTGAAATGTCTCAACATTGATCTGAAAACCTGGGAAGCCCAAGCATCAAACCAAAATGAGTGGCGTAAGACATGTTTCATTGTTAAAGGGTTTTGAAGACAGTGGACTGAAGCACCATGATCAGATACATCAAGCTCTGAAGCAGAGATGCCATCAAAATCCTGCTTCAACAAATTTCATCTCTCAGTGTGGCTTTGTTGCCCACAGCAAAGCTGTGCTAGTATCACAATTAGGAAAGCACAAATATGTTTCCCTTACCTGATTTTCTCCACAATAGCCCCTGCTAGCATGCATAAGTGTTCAACAAAAGGCGCTATCGAATGTTGACCCTCATTTATTGTTCACGAAAGGAGAGTCCACCACATATATAGAGTGCTGTTTGATAAAAGTGACTCACCTGATTTTTTTTACTTAAAGAATTTTTCGCCTATTGTTTTTGGGGTCAAACTAATTTTTAATCTTACTAATATAAAGACCCCTTCCCGGCCACCTAGTAAAAAAGTTTACTCACCCTAAGGTATTCTATTGATAATTATAATTTTGGATATAAATGAGATTTAGGGAAAAACTCTGGGCCAAAAAAGTGACTCACTTATTTCCTGCAACTAGTAATCAATAGAAACATAACCGAACAGCTTTAAATAAAGAATAATAGAGGTATAATTTATTTATAATAGGTAATATAGTTCGAAATATTTAATAATCTATGGGTCCTCCTTTATTTTGAATAACCTTTTCAATCCTTTTTGGCATTGACTTGATTAGGTTCTGGCAAATCTCATCTCCAAGCATTGAATTCCATTCGGATATGAAATTCACAATCAAATCCTCTTTGTTGCTCAACTGTTTTCTCAACAGCCTGTACTTCATAATACCCCATAAGTTTTCTATGGGGTTGAGGTCAGGAGATTGAGGCGGCCATATCATAACACTTACCTGCTTCTCATCAAAGTATTCCTTCATCAATTTTGATTTGTGACAGGGAGCATTATCCTGCATAAAAATGAGCTTGGTGGGGTCGATTTGCACCCTTTCAGCAGAAGGGAGCAGACAAGACTCTAAAATTCTCTTGTACTGCTCACTCCTGAGGGTCGTTTCAATAGGTTTTAAGAAACCAGTTCCACGAAAAGAAAAGCATCCCCAGAACATTATACTGAACGGATGCTTGACAGTACTTTCTGCTAAATTCAAAGAGCTTTCAAAGCTTCTTCTTTGGATTTTAGATTGCATATCCTTTGAATTTAGCTCAACTTTCGTTTCCTCGGAGAAGAGAACATTTAGTCAAAAAAATCAGGTGAGTCACTTTTATCGAACATCACTGTATAATGTTTTTAATTAAACGTTCATGAGCAGAAATGATCGATTGAGAAAAATCATTGAAGAGTGTGTATTTATAAACAGTAGTTCAGAATTTGCTAACCAGATGCTTCTCTGTAGCTGAATAGTACAGCACATCAGGTCAGATGTTTCTGTATAGGAATATAGGTTTGATTCCTATCAGAGAATGCATATTTTCAACAGAATTTCTTGAACATTCAGGCCAGTAAATATAATTAATACTGTTTAAATAAAAGCAGCACATTTACTTAAATGAATTTTATCTATAAAAATAATATATAAATGAAACATATATTAAATAATTGTCAGACTTAATCCATTTCATTATTTTTATATATATATATATATATATATATATATATATATATATATATATATATATATATATATAAGAACATAGTCAACACTTAGAGGCGACAGTCTGCAGTTGACCGGGACTATTTCCATGGCAAATGTTCAGGTGAGGTCTATTCTTTAGTTCCCACCAGCTCAGACTTTTACAGCTTGGACTTGCCATGCTACATTCACAAATTGCCCATATTTCCTCCACATTCCAGTTGTCGATAAACAGCAGCAAAGGTTGGATGATTCTTCTGCCTTCAGTCTGAAAATGCAGCCTGATACAGTCGTGCCCCCTCATGTCCATTATCATTTGCATTGCCATATGCAAAAATCATATCTGCTTGCTCCTGCCAATGTTATATGGAACACTTCTCAGTTAATGCACTACTACACATGTTAAACGTTCAAGACAGACTAGCCACAATTGTACACAAATAACAAATGTAACCTGGTCTTCATAGCAACACAGCGCCATCTACTGTAAACTTTCTTTAAACTTAATAGGACAAAGGACTTGAGGACCTATGTTTATATGAACAAAAAGAGTAAAGTAAGTTTACTTACAATGCCAGATAAAATTCTGTCATGTGGATATATTCTTAGTCTCATATAGGTATATAAAATAAGGAAAATTTTGTCGTAAAACATTTTTGAAAGGACCACTTTCTAGAAACTCTGAAAAGAGATGAGGTGAAACATCACCTAGAGGAGAACCCATCGGTAAAACAAATTTCTGTGTATGAAAATTGTTAGCAAAGGTGAAAAAAACTTGATTAGTGATTAATTAGCATATTTTTTATGATATTTTGTGTAGGAAGTGGCATGGTGGAGTAATGGATAGCAGTTATATATATATATACACACACACACACAAGTTGTCAGTGCCACTATGACTTGATTATATGTGAAACTGCTGCTGCTAGGTTTTTGGATGCAATACTCATGCTATTTTCTTTCTCTTTCTCAGGTATTTACTCAGTTTGTACTCGGAAATATTTCAATATTCAGAAGTTTATACATGGAGTGTTTCATGAGCTTTAAAACGAACCAGTATACATAGATGTTCTACAGAGACACACATCCAGATGAAAGAAACTCCTAACAAACAAACAGAATAGAATTTGTTTACTTAGAAGATGTTTTAGAATTTTGCATTAAGAGGTTTCTTCAGCTTAAACGGGAAGCTGAAGCTAAGATTTTCCTTAGCTTATTCCTGAAATTCTGTCCATAATGAATGAGATGAATCTGAAATCTGTTGATAATCTACCAAATCTATCGGTCGGTTCTAGTCAGGAATGCACTTCACATCGTATAACGGAACTAAAACTCTTTAATTGTGAACGATGCCAGTACAGCTTTTCAGACAGTGCCAACCTTGAATATCACCTCAAAATACACAACAGTGAGAAACGCTTCCACTGCGAGATCTGCAAGTTGCTTTTCTCCGAGCGATCAAGGCTCAGGATGCATATGCGAAAACACACTGGAGAAAAACCCTTCCCCTGTGAGATTTGTGGAGCAAAATTTTCCCAAAATATCACTCTTAAAAATCACATGCTCAGGCACACTGGGGAAAAGCCCTTCCAGTGTGAGATGTGTGGGTCTAAATTTCCTCGCAAAGATTCGCTCAAGAATCACATGCGGAAACACACCGGTGAAACACCTTACCACTGTGAGATTTGTGGGTCTCACTTCAAAACAAATGCAGCCTGGACAATACATAGTTACAAGCACACTGGTAAGCAACCGTTTCATTGTCAGATCTGTGAGAAGAGATTTTCCCAAAGTTCAAATTTCAATGCACATATGAGAAGACATACTGGTGAGAAACCCTGCAGTTGTGATATTTGCGGGTCGAAGTTTTCGGATAATTCAGCCTTAAAAAAACATATACAAACACACACTGGGGAGAAGCCCTTCACCTGTGACATTTGTGGTTCAAAATTTTCACGAAATGCCAATCTGAAAGAGCATATGCGAAGACACACTGGAGAGAAACCATTCCACTGTGACATTTGTAATTCAGATTTTGCCTACAACACACAATTTCGAATACACATGCAAAAGCATAGTGAAGAGAAGCCTTGCCATTGCAAGGTGTGTGGGACAAAATTTTCATATAAAGCTCACTTGAGGGAGCACATGCAGGTGCACACAGGAGGAAAACGTGTGGGCTGTGATATTTGTGGATCAAAGTTCTCGGACAATTCAACCCTGAAAAGACACATGCGTATTCACACTGGAGAAAAACCATTTCGTTGTGATATTTGTGAGTTAAAGTTTTCCCAAAATTCAAACATGAAGCAGCATATGAAACGACATTCGAAAGAAAAATCCCTTCCTGTTCAACCCATTGATTAAGATTTTAGGGTAGGGTTATTTGTGGGGACTACTTAAATAGATTGGTCCAATCTTAAAAAAAAATAAATACAGAAAATTTTTCCTTTTTTTTTTTTAAAGTTTGTGGCTTAGGATTCTTTTGGCCTTGTGACACTTGTCAGTAACAAATTTTTTAATCAATTTATATTTTTCCTGTTCATAATATTGATGAAGTGTCAAATTGATGTGTCTTTTACAGAGTTATCTGCACTTAGGTTTTATTTACAAATGTTGTGCCTTGAAAAATGTGCTTCATTTATATTTTTTTATACTTTTGATAATTTGTAAATTTTGATAATTTCTGGAAATTTTTATTCTTTAATTAAACTATGACACTACCTTAATAATCTATATATCTGTCTTTTAATGACAAAAAATCTTTTTGTTAAAAAAAAAACAATCTATTTTGCCAAAAAAATTGCTGCTTTAAAATATTTTCTGAATATACATAAAATGTATATATCCATTTGTTGTTTATTTAAAAGAAATCTTTTCCTAAAAAAAAAAAAGAAGAAAAATTTGTTTTCATAAATGATACATTTTCATTGTAAATAAAACTTAATGCTGATAACTCTTTGTCGAATTATTCGTTTTTTTATGGCTTTGTAGGTTATTTAAAGCCAGAAAAAATTTTTTTAGATTGTTAGAAAAAAAAATTTTTTTTTTTTAAATAATGATTTGGTGATACAAGTTATACTAACCAATAGCTGGGAGTAGAAGAGATGGATTAATCTCTCTCCCAAGGGTAATTGCATGTAAGTGAATATATTATACTATGCACACATGCAAGCTTACAACACCTGGTATTCCTAAGTGGTCACCCATCTAGGTACTGACCAGACTTGAAGTTGCTTAATTTTGATGATTGTATGAGAATTGGTGTGTCAACGTGATATGGCCTTAAGTCATTGCAGATAACTCTGTAAAATTCAAGAGTTGATTTGAACACTGTATCAATGTTATTAAGGAGGATCACCCCTGAGAAGTGCTATGACCTAAGAAAGGTCTGATCAATGCTAATCTAAAAAAATCATTTTCCCTGAAAAATTTTCCTTATTTTTTCTGAAAGGACCTCTCTATTAGTTCCACAAATCCTGTATGTTGTTTTATTGAAAATCTTTATTTTTTTAAAAATACAAAACAAACAAACCCATTGCCTTACTATTTCTTTGGTGACATAAGGAGAAAGTATAAAAAAAAAATTTATTGCATTATTGAAGCTGTTATTAGAGAAGCATAACATTTTTTAAAATTTCTTATAAATATCTTATATTCAAAGAAAAGATAAAATTAATGAGAAAAATCTTTTAAAAAATTCTGGTTCCGGTGTGAATAATTCCTTACAATAAATTCTATATTTGATAACATAAGAAAGCTATACTCAAAAAACATTTTTCCCCAAGAACTGCTACTTTGTTGAACAGACTCCCACATGGATGCTTCCCTGAAAACTTATTTGTGTAATATGCTATCAGATATGGTTATTGAAACCTGCACACATGTACAAGGATGAGTCAAAAAGTAATATGAGAAATAAGGAACACAAACATATCGTACATCAAGATATAGGTATACATCACAAATGCACACCCCTACTTTTCAACTTAGTTACCCCCCTCTTCCAGTGGCAGTATTCCACCTACAAATGAGGGCATGTATCCTGGTTTCTTAAAACTCGACCGGCTGCTGATGTAGCCATTTCCTTATAACAGTTTTCACTTCTTCATCACCACCATAATGTTTGTCCCGTCAGTACCTTTTTCATTGGACCAAAGAGATGGAAGTCTTAGGGTGATGAGGAAAAAGTGAAAACTCCTGTAAGGAATTGGCTACATCAGTAGCCAGCTGAGTTTTACAAAGTTAGGATACCTGCCATCAGTCGTAGGTTGTACACTACCACTGAAAGAGATGGTGACTATATTGAAAGTAGGGTTGTGAAGCCGTGATGTATAGCTATATCTTGATGTACGATATATATGTTTGTGTTCCTTACTTACATAATAAAACAAATTGCATTACTTCTTGACTCATGCTCGTATATTCAAGTTAATGTCCAATTACTCTTTAGAGCCTTGAGAAAGCAGGTACTTTTTTTAGTTTCAGACAAGTCAGGATGATTTTTTGAGAAAAATTCACCAGGGACATTTTTATTCCAGCCTCCCCTTTTATTAAATATTCAAGAAATTTCATTCCACCTCTTAATTTAGGTTGCAAGTATTCTAAGACATCATTACTGAAAATTTTTTTAAAAAATCCAGCTCCCGCTTTTATTCCAACCATGCCATCTATTTGAAACTAAAGTTTGTTTATTTTCAAACTAATGAACAAAAAATGTATAATGATGTTATTTTTTTTTTTTTTATATAATGTTTCTACTGTTAAGAGATTAGTAAATAATTTACTATCCATGTACAATTAATAGTTGTTACATTGATGTACATTAGGAATCTGCCTATCCTGGGAGAGATGATGGAGTTGTACTCTGGGTGATGTTGCTGGTAAAGTGTCCATCATGCCTTGATAGGCCTATTCAAAAATGGCTGTCTCTGCCACACTTTGCACAGACAAGTTTTGATGCTGATTTTTCTGTCGAATGTCAGGCTTTCCTACGTTGCTTTTTCACCCTCCGTTGAGTAAATTTCCCTTCAAGCTTGAAGAAGCCTTTCTGCACCGCCCTACCTCTTGTTTGATTATTTGGAGGCTGTAGTTTCCCCACATTCTCTATGGTACTTTATGCATTTAAGCACATTAGTAGATTGGTGACAATGTTTTGTCATTTTACAGCTGAAATGGTTAGATATAACTCTAAGTTCTATGCTAACAGTTTCTTCTCTCTTGAAAATCTCTTTTGGCTTCTTGCTTTGGAGTCGACTTTGATTCTCAAAAATTTAAATGCAATGTCAATTGCTATCTTCTGTCTTCTTAATTACGATTCTTTTATTGTTCTCTGTCTTTAATAATGTTTTTTTTCTCATATTCTCTAACACTCAATAACTCCTTGTGTCTTTATTGCCTTGCTTGGTGTGAAATAATTCATAAAAGTCTAGATTGATATCTGTAATCTTCAGGTATTCTTTTTGCAGACATCTTTGTCACATTGTCAGGGATTTAACCATTGTCAATTTGCATGATGTTCGATCTAGCACAACTGTCTTGGCTTTAAGCGGGTGTACATGCTGGGGATTCCAATCTGCTTGAGAATACTGTGATTAGGGACTTTGTGAACATTTTTGGTAAGACAATCTGTTTCAGACAGCACATGTGGAAAGTCTTGAGATTTTGTTCCAAAGTAGTTCACAAGACAAGCCTTGTAAATTGGAATGTCCTGCCAGCTTTCTGTTGTCACATTCTCTCTTTGTTAATCTGGACATGGTGGCAATAACCTTACCAATATGCTGGCTTAGATCAGTGTCAAGAGATCGAGAAGGAGTCTGAGATCATTGAAATCTGATATACAAAATCATGGACAGCATCATGATCAGTGATACCGATGCTGAGTGGGCAATTCATGTCCTGTCCCATGACCTGTGTATTCGAAAAACTAAGGGATTCCAATCCTCTTGAGAACATTGTGATTAGGGACTTGTCTTACCATCAATAACCCCAGAAGAGATTCAAATATCCAATGTTGGATATATTAATGTCTTCTCTTTTTTTTTTTTTTAATTTTATTCTGTCAGAATTTTAGAAAGGTATGTTCATGCAACAACTCTTATTGAATGACAATAATAATTGCAAAGATATGGGGAAAAGCATCCCATAAAAAACGTTTATGCAACAAAGCCATCTCTGCAGAAAAAGCAGTCAGTGAGGATTGAACCCACTAACTGTTGGTCTTCATCTTTGTTGTTTCAGCCACTGTGTCTTCCAGCCTTCATCAGGTACTTGCTGATCTAGGTAAGCCTCAGGGAATTTTGAAATCAAGAAACACTTGATGAAGGCTAGAAGGCACAACAGCCGAAACATTGTGACCTCTTTAATCCGGCACCCTTGGGACGAGACCACAGAAAATGCCAGATGACAGAAACTGCACCTAAAAATAAAACTCGATGTAAACATAGTCTTGCCAGCTTATTCCGCATATATATAAGTTATCAAAGGTGGAATGAAACTTAAAATGGGAAATAAAACAATCATTAATGCTTTCAAACAAGCTTTTTCTTGTTTCAGGCAATATAAAGTCTAAAAAAAAAGCCTAAAACCCAAATTAATATATACTTACACTATTGTAGTAAGCCTTATAGGGAACCTGTAGCTCAAACAGAAAATGAAAGTGTATGTACTGTACAATAATTAATGCTTCTAAAACACTTTGCTGCTGCTGCTGGCTCCTGCAGAAAGTTATAAACAATGCATAGCACTGCCCTTGTAACCTCTCAATGAATTTATGGTGGCTGATGCAAAAAGAGTGCCGGACCAAGGGAGTTGGTGGACCATGGTGTGCCAGATTAAAGAGGTTTGACTGTAATAACAAGGACAATAGTCTGCATAATGTAATCACAGTTCAGATGGGCTGGTCACGTCATCAGAATGAGTGATGATCGGATGCTGAAAATCCTCATGTATAGCCAACTTTTTCATGGCAAGTGTAATGTAGGCCATCCTTGGTTACGTTTCAAGGACAAACTTAAATACAATTTAATTGCTGCAAACATCCCTATAGAGGAGTTTGAACTTGCTGTTGAAAACCAAGCAAAGTGGAGAAACACCTGCTACCAAGGTATAACTAATTTTGAAAAGCATCATCTCAACAATATGAGAGAATTAAGAACCAACACTAAATCTCGAGTTAATACATCAGCTCATATAATGGTAAATCCTTCAATATGCGCTTCATGTGGATTTTTTTTGCAAATCCCGTGCAGGATTGTTGTCTCATACAAAACATAAACATAAAAACTGAACTGAAAGTCACTCATACGTCAAAATTGATGGGAGAGTCTATCATAAATAATAACTCCTCATCCTAGAAATTCAGACAGAACACTACATAGGTATGTTCAAATATATGTGTCGGTATTCTTTAAAAATGACTACCTCTTCCTTTAATTACAACTGATTTAGTAGCTGAAGCATGTCCAAATAAGGACAAAAGTCTCAGGATTCTCACCACCCACCCCCTTTTGAATCATAGCATTTCACCTTTGAATGAGAGCATGTGTACTCACCTTTTAGAAGTTGCTTGACTGCTTTCTAAACCATGTCCATTGATTTCTTTATTTACCCTTTGGTTCAAAGTGGTGAACCCATTTATCATCTTGTGACTATCATGTTTCGGAAAGTTGTGTTGTGCTGCTCCTCTGTGGAATTTGTCAGCATTCTGGGGACCCACTTTGCACAGCCCTTTCAGTAGCTAACTAAACTGTAGGCACTACCATTTCATAGCCAAAGCCGTTCACATAGTTTTACAATATTCTTCCATCTTTTGTAATGAGAGCATCAGCTTATTTAGCCTTATCCTCTTTCACATCACAGCAGCTGGCCTACCACTGTGGGACCTGTCGCTAAGATCAGTTTTTCCTTTTTCTTCAGAATTGCCATTAACTCTACTGACCCCATACTTTTACTGTGTTTACATCAAATGTAGCCTTTTCATAAATAATCACTAACCTCTAAATGTTTGCAGCACTTTCTCCTTCCTAAACCAGAAATTCTATGACAGCTTTTCCTTTCTACAGCTTTTTCCTTTAAAAGGATTATCAGTTGAAAACAGGCTCCAGATTAATTTTTGTCCCAGAACTGCCCCTGCACAAAATTTAAACTGCCCTGATATTAAAATATATATTTTAACTTTGTTATCATTTATAGTTTGTTAGTAGCAAAGCAAAAAAACCATTACAATGTTTTGGAAATATTTATTTTGATCTATTAATTGTTAAACCATGCCTTGCACCCATGAT